CTGGCATGTGGTGCTGGGGATTGAACCGCGGTCCCTGTGCTTTGCTTAGCTTAGCTTGTTCTAAGTAGGTGCTTTAGACCACTGAGCCATCTCACCAGCCCTCATTTGATAGAATTTACATACTGTACTGCTTGCAGGAGGGGCTGGGCTGAGGGTTAGGGCCCGGTGTGTATGTCAACAAGATGGGCAAACATGGGGTCGGGAAGGTGGCTCAGGGGAATAAGCGCTTCCCTGGCAAGCACAAGGGCCTGAGTTCAATCCCCGGTTCTGCCAAAAAAAAAAAGATGGGCAAACAAAGTGGTGGCATTGGAGAAGCACATGGGAGAACGACGCTTCAGCTGTTGGCTTCTGTGCCCAGGCCTGGCTGGCTTGGATACCTTTGGGGAGTGGCTTCATGAGGTACCAGCAAGCAGAAAATGCTGTGACTTCCTCTGTAGCCACAGAACCTAGGACGATGCCTTAAACAGAATGGGGTTCAACTGACGTTCATGGATTGATCTGTCACAGGATCCCCACCTCATGGCTGCTCTTGTCTCCCTGAAGTTGGATCCTGTGACTACTTTCGGGAAGGAATCTCAGTCGGGAAACATGCTCAGGCTGGCTTCTGCTTGCTGGTTCTGTCCTCTCTCAGGGGTTGTAAGCCAGCCCAAGTAGTACCCAGCAAGGCTCAGGGAATCCTTCAAGCTAATTTGCTCTTGGGGAGTCCACCCACTCACCCCAGGGCCTGTCTCCTCTTTGAGATCTTCCAGGCTGGGAATTCACCATAGCTAATTCAACAAATTAGCTATGAGGATAAACCTTATACTTCACTGGAGCTCACAACCGAGAGACAATCATTAGTAAACAACTAGTATTCTCCGGCCTCCTTCAGGCCCTTGAGTCCTCCACTCAGCTTAGCTTCCTCCTGAGAGTGGAGTAGGAGGCTACAACTCACAGTGCTCCTGGCGAGCCACAATGGGAAGTGTTCTGGGCAAGCCACGTGAACCAAGGAGAAATTCACCCTCCAGCGCTGGAGTTTTGCCCTTCAGTTGTGTAGCTCCTGAAAGTCGGAGCCAGGGACGTCGTAGATGGGCAGAAGGCTCAGGTGCCCTGTCCCAGACTGTGTGCTGTGTGTCTGGCCCTGGCTTAGGGGTGGGACTGTTGCCGTGTACACCAAACAAAAGCACACATGAGTGAGCGGAGAGTTAGTAGGAAGCTCTACTTTCATTTCTCTTTCCTGCCTTCTCTTTTTACTCTCCCCTGCTAATGGCGACAGAGCAGTTGGCTGTTTAGGATTCCTCTCTGATACCCACATGAGCCCAGACTGATACTCTGGGCAGTATTTCTTAGGCTTCTGGGAATGTGGAGGGGGAGGAGCCATAACCTTCTCTTCCTTTCAAGCCTTTCTTCTCACTTCTGGCCGCTGTACTCCCACCTCCACTTCCCTCTGTTCCTGACGTATGTTTAGTTGACCCATTATGTCTCCTGGCCAGGATAGGAAAACAGCAGCACATATAATCCAAGTCATAGGATTCTGGAAAATTCACTCCCCAACCCAGGTGGTCTGAGATAACTGTTAAGGTTGATTGGGTCCCATAACGCCACCCACAGGCAATCTGCAGAGGACAGGGCAGCCTGGGTGCAAGGAAGGCAAGCCCAGGGGTGCTTAAATTGGTGGCTTAACATCCAACTTCCACCCCCTAGCTATAGGTCCAGCCAAATCAGGTCTTGTGCCTGCCTGTTTTTATAGAGCTCTGTGGCAAAAAATGGCTTTCATGTTTTCAAAACAAAACAAAAATAAAGAAAAATATGCAACAGACTTTGGGTGGGAAAGCCTGAGGGTTTTTTTTTTTGTTGTTGTTGTTTTGTTTTTTCCTATGTGGTCCCCTACTGAAAAGGTTCAGGGCAATTGCAACAAATTTTATTTATTTATTTATTTATTTATTTATTTTTGGTGGAACCGGGGATTGAACTCAGATCCTTGTGTTTGCCAGTCAAGTGCTTATCCTACTGAGTCATCTCCCCGGCCCTGCAACAAATTTTAGACTGCACAAAATTTATCTATTTTCTCTTACTATACCTTTTTATTTTTTAAATTTTTGAGATAACGTCTCACTGTATCATTCCGACTGACCTTGAAATTACTATGTAGTCCAGGCTGGCCTCGAGCTTGTAGCAATCCTCCTGCCTCAGCCTCCCAAATGTTGGGATTTCAGGCATGCACCACCATGCCCGGCTTTCTTACTATATACTCTGAGTCTTTCCAAACATGGTGATCGGGGAGCATACACCACTCCTACTTACTACAATGCAGCTCAACAATGGCCTCCACCTACCATGGCTCACCTGCCCTGCAAGCACCAGTCATGACCTTCCAGGTGAGGGGAGGAATACACGAGGTCCAGTACACATGGCATACAGCAAATGAGTGAACAAGCTCAAGTTGGTACATGGTGAGGCCGTACAGTACTACGGCTAAGGCTTTGGGCCAGACAGGGTCAGGGATAAGTGTCTACGCTGTACTATGCGCTAGCTGCATGCTCTGAGGCTAGCTGTTTTCTTTTCTTTCTTTCTTTTTTTCTTGTTTGGTACTGGAGATCAAACTTGGGACCTTGCACTTGCCAGGCAGGTGCTCATGCAGCTGAGCTATCTCCCCAGCCCCGAGACTAGCTGTCTGTCATAAATGAGCCTCGCTGCTTACCTGTTTCTGTTTTTGTTTTGCAGTGCTGGGCATAAAACGTGGCACCTTGCCCATGTTAAACAAGTGCTTTGTCACTGACCCACACTCCCAAGCCCTTGTTCTAGACTACCTACCTCATTAGGAGTGAGGATTAATTAAATGTCAAGGGCCTGAGCCTCAATACACACTGGTGCGGGCTGACACAGGTCCCCGGAACTGGGTGGGATGGGGTCACGGAGGCCACGCTGGTCCTTACTTGATAGGGTAGGTCTCATCTCTGCGCCTCTGCTTCTCATGTGCAGGCAGAGCCTCCCAGCCGAAGGTCAGGATCCAGTCAAAGTTGCCCCGGCTGTGGATTCTGCCCCCAGGGACAGGCTTGGAGAACTCAAAGGTGTGTAAGTTAATGGTGACGATGTCTGGGCTCACCACAGCTGTCTTGTCGTCAGCAATTCGAGCCAGGAGGGGCTCCAGCCAGCCATGGAAGCACTCACCTGCAGACCCAGGTAAGGGGGTAGTGGTCTAGGCCCTGCCCACAGCTGACCCAAGCCCCACCCCAGTGGGGAACCCAGGATGATCAGAAGGACCTTTTCTTTACTCTGGTTTGGGCAGATACCAATTAGCTCCACAGCTGTAAGGAAGAGAGCTGCAATCGGAAACCCTCCTGCCTCTTCCCCAGAAAGGTGGAGGCTGCTTTGGAGGGGAGAATGGAGGTCTAGGTGGGAGTGGGGGAGTAACCCGTTCAACTCAGATGATGCAGAAGTACAGAAGAGGCTCTGGGTGCAGATCTTCAGTGCTCCCAGCCTCCCCACAGGGCCAGCTCCCCTCTTAAATGTGGATTTTGGGAGGTGTTCTCTTTCCCAGGATCTGCATCTCAAGTTTCAGCGCCAAAGCCACCCTAGGAGATTTTCAATGAACTTCTGTGTACATTATTTCAATGGGCTCCTGGAGTAGTAGCTGTGGTAGGTAAATAAGGCTGGTATTCCCCTTTTCTGTTTTGAGACAGGTCTCAATATGTAATTCACACTGGCCTTGAACTCACTATGTAGCGCAGGCTGGCTCCAAACTCACAGCAACCCTCCTGCCTCAACCTCTAGACTGCTAGGATTATAGGCTTGTGTGCTACCACACCTGGTATCCTTCCCAGTTTACAAACGAGGAAACTGAAGCTCAGTATGTGTTAGGGGCAGAATGGGAACCAGGGCTTCTCACACCAGTTCTAGAACTTTCCCCAATATATGTCACTGCCTTTAAGGAATAGTCACTTCTCCCTGACAGTGTTGGGAGATGTTTTGGCTTTGGGTAGGAGGCAGGTCTTTCTGGTTCTACATAGCTTTATAGGAAAGCCCTATGCAAACCAGTTCCAAACCAGTGGAGCAGGAGTTCCAAACGGGAGGCCTCTGTGAGGGGACAGAACTCTGAACAAGGTATAGATGGGGAAGGATGAGCATGTGTGTCTCCAGGGCACATGTCCAGGATCTGGGGTCAGCACTTGCTGGAGGGCCATTTGTGCCACCTGACAAAACATTCCTGAGTTGGGGTAAGGATGGGGGACAAGGGAGAAGCTCCCATGCCTCCTTCACTCCCACAACAGAACAGACTGGTCTCAGTTCTTCCAGGGGGAGCAGAGGGGCAGGTGACACAAGTCCAGCGTGCCCCGTAGGGTGTCTCCTACTCACAGTGGGCATCCAGGAATGTTAGCACCTCTGCCTGTGCCACACTGGCCCCCAGCAGCCGGGCAGTGATCAGCCCCTTCCGCTCCTCCTGCCGCACCACCTTCACGATCTGCAGCTGCCGCACGTACTGCTCCAGCTTGTCCTTTAGGTATTCTGGAAGAGATGGGGTCACTGCTGCAGGCCAACACGGCTGCAAACCTCAACCCAAGCCCAGGTGCTCCCAAGCATCCAGCTCCCTGGAATGTCAACCCTCCCACACCGCCTATACAGAGCCATTCCACAGAAGCCAAAGGGAGCTGGGCGTCGTGGCACACACCCATAAGCCCAGCACTCAGGAGGTAGAGGCAGGAGGACTGCTGCAATTCTGAGACCAGCCTGAGCTACATAGTGAGACCTTATCTCAAACAAAGGTGCTAAAATAGGGAGGGGGGAAGACAGTGGAAGGGAGAGGAGGATCTGCTTGTGGCCAGAGCCTCCTTGTCAGGACACCAGCTCTGCAGTGCTAGATCCTGTTCCTGCTTTCAGGCACCTTCTTTATCATCTGAGACACACCTCGAAGAGTTGTGTTTCTTTGGCCTCAAATCAAGTCCAAACTTCTGCCAAAGGCTCTCAGATGCCCAAGATTTCTCTTGTCTCAGCTGCTTCTCTCAGAGCTGTCTTTCAGGCTTTTCTCTCAGACCTAGTGGGTGCAGCCATGGCCCCGTGTCTGTGCTTTCCCATCTCCCACGCTCTTCAGCATGAGTTTGTTTGGTGAAGTACACACAGAGGCTGAGCTCTGCCTGAATCCCTTTGATTACCTCCTCTGAACAGAAACTTTTTTAGGAAGATGAAAACAAGCCAAACGGGGGCTGGTGAGATGGCTCAGTGGTCTAAAGCACCTACTTGGAACAAGCTTGGCAAAGCACAGGGACGGTGGTTCAATCCCCCAGCACCACATGCCAGCCAGCCCCGCCCCCTGGTGGGCTGAGCTGGCCACACACACACACATACACACACACACACACACACACACACACACACAAATAAATAAAAATGTTAAAAGAAAAAAAAAAGCCAGTTTTTAAATTACACACACACACACACACACACACACACACACACACTTTTTCTGTGGGATTGAGGATTGAACTCAGGGCCTGTGTTTGCCAGGCATACTGCTGAGCTATCTCCCAGCCGCACCTCCCCCCCTATTTTTGAGCCAAGTTCCTGATAAGTTGTTAAGTTGCTGAAACTGGGCTTGCAGCCCTCTCAAACTCAGCCTTCCAGACGGTGAGGATTACAGGCATGTACCACCATGCTTGGCCACGTTATATTGTTAAAGGGGCAGCGCACGTAGCTCAGTAGAGCGCAAGGCTCTGGGTTCATTTCAGAACTTTGAAACAGAACAATAAAGCCCTGAGCACTAAGCACCTCCAGGGGCCTGGCACAGTGCTGGAGGCTGGCATACAGTGGTGAGCACTGCCATACAATCATTTGTCGTAAGGAACAAACTGCCCGGAGCAAAATGGCCAACCATCCCACTTGAGGGTGGCAGGGAAAGCACTTTTTTTTTGTGTGTGTGTGGTACTGGGGATTGAACTCAGGACCTTGAGTTTGCCAGGAAAACACTTATTTTACTGAGCTATCTCCCCAGCCCATGGAAAAGCACATTGAAGGGACGGCATCTGCTGAGATTGCCCACACCTTCTCAGCAGCAGCAGCCTGCTCCCTTTTCACTCTCTCCCTTCAGCCCCACAACCCCACTCTCACTGTGCTGTGCATGTGCCGAGCCTCAGGGCCTTTGTGAGAACACTCAGAGTGGTTTTTCTCCACTACTGTGATAAAAGAGCTCCCTAATGACATGGTATTAACCCAAAATCTTAGGATATTAAAAAAAAATCACTACATATTTTGAAGGCTTCATCTTGAAACATAGTCTAAATCTTCTGGGTTTTTTTAGAGACAGGGTCTTGTTATGCTCAAGGCTGGCCTTGAACTTGGGATCTTCTTGCCTCACTGAGTGCTGGGATTAGAAGTCTGTACCTGAGAGCCAAATCTTATTTTATTAACTAGTGTTCTGATTTATTTGTTCTTTTCTCAACTCTGCGGAATGGAGTGGCCAATAATTTCATGGGTGGAGGGCACACCTACGTGACCAATGTGCACAGTATGTGCTTTGCACTTCAGACTGTTCAGTCAGCCTAGTGATCAGCGATGAGTGACCATCGCTCTGAGCGTGGTGTTACCTACTGTGGGTCCTGAAATCAACTGAGTGGGTCACCACAGATCTCTTACACACATATGCACAAGCGCACGTGCACCTTCTCCCTGAACACTTGAGTACCTTCTGTGTGTAGTCACTGAACCTGGTGCTTTTATGTTGACTTCCTTCTTCAGTCTTTCCTAGCAGGGTGACAACTCTGTGGAATAGGGAGTGTTGTCCCCAGTGTGTTAACAGATGGAAAACTACAAGTGATGATCCCAGCGTCACAGCAAGTGCAAAGAGCCACTGCAGGTCCTAACCAGCCTGTGTCACCCTGTTCTCCCAGGAGCAGTTAGGCCACTTGGGCGGGACTTGATGTACATAGGTTTCAGAGTGGGTTCTGTAGCCTTCCTGTCATCTAAAGGCCTTGCCACTTGACCTCATGTGAGACCCCAAGAAGAGAAGATGAGAGAAAGGGGCTTTGTCAGGCCATTCTTTTGGTCACTGTTGTAGAGGGCAGATTCCAATGGGAAAGAAATTATTTTTTTCTTTTTCAGTTTTTTTGGATAGACAAGAGCTCCTGACCCAAGGCTGACTTGTATGTGGAATTCTTCAGGCAGCCCCCTGAGAAAGGGGCTGTGTCCTACTCCAGAAAGGAGGTTTCTGGCCCCTGGAGCCAGGACCTAAGGAGTCAAAACCAGCCTCCTGTGCAGCTTCAGCCCGGAAGCCACAAACAGACATCTGCTGTGCTCTGCCCACGTGCCAGACACTGTCCTGCAGAGTGATGGCTGGTTTGCATCCTGCCATCAAGTAGCTCATGAACTCCACAGCCCCAAGTGCTGGCCGTGACAGGAAAGAGGGAGGAACCCAGCCAGGAGCTTCACATTCTCAGTGTGGCTGACATTTCCCCTGAGAACTGCCTTAATTCTCCTCACAGGAAGCCCATGGTAGTAGAGATAACCCAGGGGCAAAAACGTCATAGGAAGTGGGTTTTGTGGTGAGGGACTGAGAAGCACTGAGTCGTACCCCTCAGGGGAGTCTGAGCTCTACAAAGTTCTCTCATGCCTTCCTGTTAGTCTCAAGAGCTTTGGCTGCATGGACCTGGGGTTTCTGAGTCCAAGAGGCACCCAGCTCCAGGCTTTAGACCATTCTAGGGGTGCAAGATAACTCCCCTAGGAAATATCCCTGTTACCCATTCCCCTGTCTCGCCCTTAGATTCACTGGACATAGGAACCAGATGGCAGAGCTAAATGTGCAGACAAGTTCCCTCACGCTCTCATGCACCTTGGACGACAGTCTTTTAACTTAGGGTCAGTGCTCCACTGCTCCAACTTGGTGTCCCACCGCACAACTCAAATCCACAAGCTCGTCATGACTCAACGCCCATGTCTCAAGGGGCCCATCAGTATGCAGATGGCTCCTGGCCCGGCCTTCCACCTTCCCCGCACACCTGACGAACCTTAATCCTAACGTGCTCCCAACAGAATTTCTCCCCACTAGTGTTCCTAGACCCCCCAACTCCAGCACATGAGGCCAGCATCCCCCAGCTGCCCTAATGCTGGATCCCCCCCCAATGCTCTGCCCTATTAGTTATTATTATTAATTATTATTATTATATTATTATTATTATTATGTGTGTGTGTACAATCAGCCCATCAGCAAGGAGAGCCAGTTCAGTCTCTCTCCCCATGGCCACCATGTGATAATGTGTCACTTACTACTACTCTTTTAGTCTCAACTTTACTCTTTCTTATCTTTTTGTTTGTTAGTTTGGATTTTGGGTTTTGGCTTTGGCAGCACTGGGAACTGAATCCAGTGCCTTTGCATTGAGCTATGTCCCTAACAGTTTTTCTGTTTTTTACTTTGAGGCAGAGTCTTGCTAAGTTATCCAGACTGGGCTCAAACTTACAATCCTGCCTCAGCCTCCTAGAGTGCTAGGATTACAGGTGTGTACCACCACTCCCAGCTCCCTAGTCTACACAGAGAATTGCAGTTATCTCCAAGCCAGACCATTTCACTAATAGTGGTTTATTTTTTAAAATTACATTTATTTATTTATTTATTTATTTTTGAGCCAGGGTCTTGTTATGTAGTTCAGGCTGGCCTTGAATGCACAGTAACCCGCCTGCTTCAGCCTCCTGAGTGCTGGGATTAAAGGTATGTATTACCACACTCACTCATAAACAGTGGGTTAAAAATATACCATGGGTGTGTGGCACATGCCTATAATCTAAGTGATTTGGGAGACTAAGGCAGGAGGATCACAAGTTGGAAGCTAGGCTGGGCAACTTAGTGAGACCCTGTCTCAAATAAAAAGGGTTGAGGGATGTGGCTCAGTGGTACAGCGTTTGCCTGTCTGGCATGTACAAGGTCCTGGGTTCAATCCCCAGTACCACCACCACCACTGGAAAAAATAAAAATAAAAAAGCTCTTAAATAAGAAATCTAAGTAGTTTCCTTAAGATAAAAAAATACATAGAATTAAAACAGATATTTAAGGGCCGGCCAGATAGCTCAACAGATTAAAGTGCCTGCTTGGGCAGATGCAGGGATGGGCCTTCGATCCTCCCAGGTGCCGCTCTCAGCCCTGCCTCCAGGGCATGCTAAGATGGCAACTGAGACTGGGAGTGGTGGCACGCACCTATAATCCCAGCGCTTGGGAGGCTGAACACAGAACGATTACTATGAGTCTGATCTGTGTAGCGAGACCCTGTACTATAACACATTAAAAAATAAAATAAAATTATATATATGTGTGTATATATACACATATATACATATATATATATATATATATATATATATATATATATATATATATATATAGAGAGAGAGAGAGAGAGAGAGAGAGAGAGAGAGAGAGAGGGAGAGGGCGCCAGGAGTGGTCATGGATCCCTGTTATGCTAGCAGGGAGGCTGAGGCTGGATTATCACTGTGAGTTCAAGGCTAGCCTGGACTATACAGTGAGACCC